TATCCGTGGGTCGGTAACGGAGAGTGCTGCTCTCCGGTGAGGTCAGGTCGCCGGTAGTAAGACACAGGACTCAAGGCACGGCTTAGTCTGTGTTTACTGCTTTATTGTATCTCTGCTCCTTGCTGTCCAGCTCTCTGCTGATCCAGCTTTCTGGGACCCAATCTCCGGGACCCCGTCTCTGACCTGATCTCCTGGTCCCAGTCTCTGACCTGATCTCCGACTATTAAGAGAAGACTAGCATATTTATATACCATGGGGGTAGTGGTAAAAGCTTTTAGATACTTTGTGAGATATTCTATTTACATGTGGAAGTGGGTTTCTGCTAGACTATTGTCTACCTGTAAAAATCACACACAGGAAGGCATGGTATGCATAGAGCCAAAGGCCATGTTTATGTCAAGGCATCTGTGGCGGCCACTTCAAAGGGAGAGACAGGAAAGATGCCAGAAAGCACCTTGCTATGAAAAGGAGCCCGCAGCACATTCCCCGAGCTGCATGAGCTGTCCGGTGTGAAGGGGCTTCGACTTTTGCATAACAGAGGTCTCCCAACACAAGACCTTGCTGATAGATAAAAAGTAGCTGTATGATGAGTAGGGTTGATCAGGAGAAAGCAGAGTTTATTAGCAAAGGAACACATGGGACAGATTCCCTTCCAGGCAGGGAAAATGTCTGCCCTCAGGAGGGTCTTGAGCTGGGGTCTTTTAAAGGGGGAGGCTTCTGCTTCCTGCAGAAGGTGGGAAGATGTATATTTTTTTTAAGTTGGGCTGGGGGAAATGGGAGAGCGGGACTGTTAAAACCTGTTCTCTTTAGAGATCAAAGGGAAAGCCTGCTATGTTGGCCAAACAGTGGAGAAAAGTCTGCTTCTCTTGACTTCAAAGACCAAGGTGCTTATCAGCTCAGCTCAGCTCAGCTGCGTTCCCTTTTCTCAGGAGCTTGAGAAGTCCTTGAGACCCTGTTGGTGAGGGGGCAGGGCTATCTGAAACTTAACACTTGCACATGCCAGTTAAGTGCCCTACTACTGAACTATACCACCAGCTCCTGACTTTCTGAGACAGAGCCTCACTATATATCCGAGGCCGGCCTGTAACTGAGCATTGTGCTGCCTGTATCTCCCAAGTGGTGGCATCAAAGGTGTGCACCACCATAGCTAGCTGGACTTTGAAGACGGGCAGGAAGATGAATTTAGCACACCTGAAACACCGCCCCCACCCCCCCCAGTGCTTACCAATCTGGGTTTGTGCAGGCTGAAAATCTGCCACCTGGGTCCCATGGCCTGTAAAGACCTGGCCTCTACCCTCAGCCTGAACCAGAGGCTGACAGAACTGGACCTGGGCCTGAATGACCTCGGGGATCCTGGTGTGCTGCTGCTGTGCGAGGGCCTCAGGAACCCTGGCTGCAAACTCCAGATCCTCCGGTGAGCACGAGTCCCCCACTGACCTTGCCCTTCCTCCATGCCATGAAAGCCTGGGTGCCTCCTATTGTCTCCCAGACTCTAGCTATAGCACCCCCATGTCAAAACTTTCTACCATGTGGCCTTTGTATAAGTCATTCTTGCTGCCTGGAATTGCCTCGCTGTTTCTTCTGTCTCTTGCTGTTCCCAGAGAAATTTGACTTCGCATTTAGAACTCTTAACCAAATACCACTTCCCTAGATAAGGTCTAGGATATTAGTTATCCAATTCTATTATGTAATTCTTCTGCCCGGTGTCATGTATCAAAATTTACTTGACTAGAGAGATGGCTCAGCTACAAGCAATTGCTGTTCTTCCTGAGGACCCAAGATCAGTTCCCAGCACCCACATCAGGTGGTTCACAACCACCTGCAACTCCAGCTCCATTCAGAGGATCTGACACCTCTTCTAACTTTGGTGGACAACAACATGCATATGGCGTGCATTCACACACACAAGCAAATAAATCTTTTTTAAAAATCTTGTCAGGCCAGGTGTGGCCTTTAGTCCCAGCACTTATTTATTTTATTTATTTATTTATTTATTGTCTTTTTTTTGAGACAGGGTCTCCCTGTAGCCCCAGCTGGCCTGGAACTCACTTTGTGGACCAGAGCGGCCTTGAACTCACAGAGATACACTTGCCTCTGCCTCCCAAGTACTGGGATTACAGGTGTGCACTTTATTTTATTTTATGTGTATATTGCCTACATGTATGTAAGTGCACCCATGTCATGCAGTGCCTATGGGGGTCAGAAGAGGGCATCAATTTCCTTTGGAACTGGAGTTTCAGACAGCTGTTAGCTGCCATGTGGGTGCTGGAATTGAACCTGGGTCCTCTCTAGGACCAGTCAGTGCTCTTAACCACTGAGCTGTCTCTCTGGCCCAGACAGTAGGTTCTTTGAAATTAGCCTGGGCTACACAGCAAGACCCTGTCTCAAGAAAAGGACAAGGGTCATGGTATTACACCCCTTTAATCTCAACACTTGGGAGGCAGAAGAAGGTGGATCTCTGTGAATTTGAGGCCAGCCTGGTCTAGGTAATGAGTTCCATGCCAGCTGGAGCTACAGGGAGATGCTAAAAGCAAAACAAAACAAAACACCACCACCAAAAAGGAAAAATTTATTAAAGATGCAGTCTTTGGTACTTATTACAACAGACCCAAGAAACTCAGCACTTAGTAGACATCAAATTCTCCATTTCCATTCAAAATAATAAGTATTATATTATTATTATCATCATTATTATTGTTTGAGATGGGTCTCATGTAGCCCAGGCTGATCTCTGACTTGCTATAGCCCAAGACAATCTTGATTTCCTGATCTTCCTTACAAGTGCTGTGATTACAGGCATGTGACACCACGCTGGGTTTATACAATACTGGGGCTCAAACTCAGGGCTTCATGTAACTTAGGCAAGCACTCTACCAACTAGCCACGTCCTCAGCTCTCTTCTGTATTCTTCCTGAGTTCCTTCCTTCCTGGGCTCTCACTTACGTCCCTTCTGTCTGTCTACCTCTGCCTTTGCCTCTCTGTCCCCTTTTCTCTCAAATGTGAGTACTATCATACCCCTGGCACCCGACCCAGGGGCTTGATGCTTAAATGCAGCCTCAGGGACGTTACCACAAAGCATGGAGCAAACTTGGGCAACCCTTCCTCCAGGCTGGGCATTTGCCGGCTGGGCTCGGACTCGTGTGGAGGGCTTGCCCAAGTGCTCCAGGTCAACGCTTGCCTCCGGGAGCTGGACTTGAGCTTCAATGACCTGGGAGACAGGGGCCTGTGGCTGCTGGGGGACGGGCTGCGGCACCCCACCTGCAGACTCCAGAAGTTGTGGTGAGTGGGCAGGTGGGAGGTGGGGTTGGAGTGGGAGGGAGGCTGAAGCAGGGCCATCTTTCCTTACTTTTAAGTGCTGCTTCCCCCGCTCACCTTGGAAAATCAAGTATAGAGGTAGAAACAGTTTTCACACTGTAGATGTGACTCAATTAGTAGAGTACCTACCTAGCCCTAGGGTCTATCCCACCACTGCATAAATAGGCTGTGATGACCCTTGCCTGTAATTTAATCACAGCTCTTGGGAGGTGGAAGCAGAATGAGGCCAGCCTGGGCTACATGAGACACTGGTTCAAAAAAAAAAAAAATCTCCAGGTTGGAGGGATGGCTCAGGTTAAGAGAGCTTGCTGCTCTTGTAGAATACCAAGTTTGGTTCCCAGCACCCATATGAAGGCTAACAACTGTCTGCAGTGCCAGTGCTGATGCCCTCTTCTGGCCTCATGGGCACCCACACACATGTGGTTCACACACACACACACACACACACACACACACACATATGCAAACACACAAATAAAATAAAAATAAATAAATCTTAAAAAGAAAAAAAAAAAAAGGCAAGGGGGCAGGCATGTTTAATCCCAGCACTTGGGAGGCAGAGGTAGACAGATGTCTGTGAGGTTGAGTCCAGCCTGGTCCACATAGTGAGTTCCAGGCCAGTTGGGACTACAAGGAGACACTGTCTCAAAAAAATAAATAAAATAAATAAAATTAATTTTTTTAAAAAAAGAATGCAGTTGGGGAGGAGAGAAATTGGTGTCAGGCCGGCCCCAGACTGAGAACTATTGGAGACCGATTGCTACTGGGTGACGGAGAGGATGCCTTACATATGATCTCTAGATGGGCTGACTAGACTCCAGTGCCAGGGACAAATTTACATTGAAAAACATCTGGGTACAAATGCTTGACTGGATGGGACCTGACATGGATGACAGAATACATGCGGTCCAGTTGGGGGTGGAGGGGATATGGATGGGGGAGGGGTTCTGAACTTAATTAAGAACTGTGGTGTGGCCCGCTGTGCTGGCCCATGCCTTTAATCCCAGCACTCAGGAGGCAGAGGCAGGCATATCACTGTGAGTTCCAGGCCAGCCTATTCTACAAAGCAAGTTCCAGACTAGCTGGGTAACAGGTGGACCCTGTGTCTCAGACCAAAACAAAACAAAAAAAGAATGCAGGGACTGGAGAGGTGACTCAGTGGTAAAGAGCACTGGCTGCTCTTGCAGAGGACCTAGGTTCAGTTCCTAGTACCCACATTGCAGTTAACAACTGTCTGTAATTCCTGTTCCATGAGACCTGTTGCCCTCTTCTGGGCTACTTAGGCAAAACTCTCATTCACATAAAATTAGAAAGGAAAATTGCTGCTGGGCATGGTGGTACGTGCCTTTAATCTCAGCACTTGGGAAGCAGAGCAGGTGGAGATCTGTGAGATCGAAGCCAGCCTGGTCTACCGAGTGAGTTCCAGGCTACAGGGAGACCATGTCTCAAAATAACCAAAAATGAATAATAAAAAATTTTCAAAGGATGCAGGGTGCACCATTAGTCATTTCTATGCGGGGATGTGGATCACTCCAAGGTGCATCAGACATCCTGCTAAATGTTCTTGCCTTTACAGCCAACCTGTTCCTTCCACAGTGCTTGGGAGCTGAACCCAGGCTCTATGAACACTAGGGACATATTCTGCCACCGTACTATGTATCTCTATCCCTCTTTTGCTTCAAAGCAGGGTCTTCCTATGCAGCCCAAACTGGCCTCAATTTGAGTACAGTTCCCAGCAGAACCCAAGCTGGCCTACCACCTTATCTATCAAGTCCCAGCATATGGATGCACATCTGGCAAGATGGCTCAGCAGGTAAAGGCTCTTGCTGTACAAGCTAGGCGACCTGAGTTTGATCTCCGGAACCCATAAAGGTGGAAGGAGAGAATCTACTCTGCTAAGCTGTCCCTCTGACATACACACCACAGCACCCAAACACACACACACGCACACGTCCTATGTAGTCTTTTGAAGCCAAACTTGACTCCAGACTGAAACTGAGTTTTCACTGAACAGGTAACTGGGAGAGGAAATGTATTTAATTATAAATTATATCAGTTACTTTTAATTGTGTATTTTCATTTTATGTATGAGTGTTTTACCTGCATGTATATAAGTGTACATGTGTCATTCAATGCCTGTGGAGGCCAGAAGAGGGCATCAGATCCCCTGGAACTGGGGATGGTTGTGAACCATGATGTTGGTGCTGGGAAAAATTCTAACCCAGGTCCTCTGCAAGTGCTCCTAACCATTGGGCATCTCTCCCATGCCCCATTATCTTTGTGTGTGTCCCACTACATTAGGGGGTTACCTCCAAGAGCTTATTTACTTGGGCAAAGACAGCTTACCACTGGCTACATCATTCTTCCTCTCCTAGTAACTGTTGGATAGGTTCATAACTTGGTCCTCTAAAATCTTCACCCGTTCCCCCAAAAGTCAAGCTTCATGTGGCTTCGGGTGTTCCACAGGCTGGACAGCTGTGGCCTCACAGCCAAAGCATGTGAGGACCTTTCTTCCACCCTGGGAACCAACCAGACGCTGACCGAGCTCTACCTGACCAACAACACCCTGGGGGACACAGGTGTAAGACTCCTGTGCAAGAGGCTGAGACATCCTGGATGCAAACTTCGAGTCCTGTGGTGAGAGATGAGTCCTGATTCCTGGGAAGGGAAGGGGTGTGTGCTGGGATGTTGGGCTCAGATCTGGAGGTAGGGACATTAAATAACGGAGACATTGAAACAAAACCTGGAGCTATTTTACTCATGGAATGGAGTATCCATGAGACCAGTGCTCATGTAGAGTCAAACAGGGAACACAGATAAACTGCCAGATGCATTTGGAGGCAGGATATCCCTTTGAAGGCCAGGCAATCTTCAAACTCTCCATCCTCCTGCCTCAGTCTCCTGCATGCTGGGATTACAAGCACGTACCGCCAGGCCCTATTTCTTATTCTTTCAAATGGGACTATTTTCGCAGCTTTGGAATCTGGAAGGTTTGATTTCTTCACTTGGGGGATTTTCTATGCTACACAGACTTTTTGGCATCGTGATATCTGCATCTGTGAGAAAACAAGTTGAAGCTTCCTAAGGTTTGTGTAAATGAAACAACTGACACTTAAAAACTGGTAGTAATGATCCCGGCTTCTCAGAAGGCTCAGACAGGCATGTCCCAAGTTCAAGGCCTGCCTGAAGTCTGGAGTTGTCTGAGCACTAAGGCAGTGAGACCATCTCAAAATGAAAAAGGGGCTTTCTGGGGTATGGCGGAGCACAGCTTTAAGGCCAGCAATTGGAAGACGGAGGCAGGCAGAGCTCTGGGAGTTCAAGGCTGACCCGGCGGCCTACATAAGTTCTAGCCAGAGTTAAACCATGAGACCATCTCAGAAAATAAAAGGGATGGGGGTGACTAGGAGATGGCTCAGTGGAAGAGCTCTTGCCTAACATGCAAAGCCCTAGCTTTCCAACACTGCAAGTTTTTTTTTTTTTTCACTTTTATTTCACGTTGGGGAGTGGGAATGCACATGCCACAGTGCTCTTGCAGTCAGAGAACAACTTGCAGGAGTCGGTTTTCCCCTTCCACCAAGTGGGTCCTGGGGATTGAACTCAGATCATGACGTTGGGGGCGGGGGCAAGCCCCTCCACAGGCTAAGTCATCCACAGCCCCTTCATATGAGTAAACATTTAAAAATATTTTATGTGCGTTGTGTGTCACCTGCATGTATGTAAATCTTTGCAATGCTGGTGGAGCTCAGAAGAGGGCATGGGACTCTCTGGAACTGGGGTTACAGATGGTTGTTAGCCACCATTTGAGTGATGGGACTCAAGCCCAGGTCTTCTGAAAGCACTACAACTGTTTTTTGAGGCAGGGTCTCCCTGTAGCCCCAGCTGTCCTGGAACTCACTATGTAGACCGGGCTGGCCTTGAACTCAGAGGATCCACCTACCTCTGCCTCCCAAGCGCTGTGATTAAAGGCGTGCGCCACCATGCCCAGCAACTACAAGTATTCTTAACCACTGAGTCATCTAAGTAAACCTTCAAAGTATTTATTTTTTGTGTATTTCACAGAACATATTTCTTTAAAAATTATTTTTAATGTGAGTGTATTGCCTGCATGTATGTGAGTGCACCCATGTCATGCAATGCTGAAGAGGTCAGAAGAGGGCTTCAGATTCCCCTGGACCTGGAGTTAAGGACAGTTTGTAGCCACCATGTGGGTACTAGGAATTGAGCCTGGGTCCTCTGCAAGAGCAGCCAGTGCTCTTAACCACTGAGCCATCTCTCCAGCCCCTCAATCTTGTTTTAAAATTTTTATTTTGTGTATTGCCTGCATGCAGGTAAGTGCACCTGTGTCATGCAATGCCCATGGAAGTAAGAAGAGGCATTGGATCCCCTGAAACTGGAGTTATGGTTGTTAGCTGCCATGTGGGTGTTGGGATTTGAACCTGGGTCTTCTGCAACAGTGTTCTTAACTGCTGTGTCATCTCTCCAGCCCCAGAACATCTCAATCATCTTTATACTGACTTCCCCACTGGCACCCTCAGTCATCCCCCCCCCGAATTCATACATTGTCATACGTTAAGATGTTATACATAAAGGCTTACTGTATCAAGTTAGCGTCCCCAGATGTTCTCTCAGTGCATCCCACAGTTCATCTCTTCCTCATCCAGCAGTAATCAGTTGCCAATATTTCTTCAGCTAAGATTGGAGTCTGCCGTCCACTTCCCCAGTTCTATGCTGTTTTTGTTTGCTAGAGTTTGAGTTTGCATGGGCCTTGTGTACACAGACATCATTGCTGTAGTCATATGAGCAGGGTCCCAAGAGCTCCACGTAAGCATTTTAAAGCGCTTATTTCCAGTATAGAGACTACTTTACCAGGTAAAATGCAGAACACAGGATGTTGTTAGTTACATGTCACCCGTGGCCATAACGACAGTATCATTGCTGTCCTCAGGTTATTTGGAATGGATCTGAACAAAATGACCCACAGGAGGCTAGCAGCACTTCGGATAGGAAAGCCATACTTGGACATTGGATGCTGAACTGTTCTGGAGAAATCGGGATGAAGAAGAGTATGGAGCGTCCCCCCTCGCCCCACAACCAAGGACCAAACTCATTCCCAAAGACAAGAAGCAAATGTCCATAACCCAACACATGAGTGGCAGTAATTCAAGGAACAACAAGAGTTTCACAGACAGGGTTAGTCAAGGTGTGGTGGCACAGGTCTTTAATCCTAGCACTCTGGAGACTGAGGCAGGTGGAAAGTTCCAGGCCAGCCAAAGATACAGTGACACTTTATCATAAAGAGATGTGGCTCAGCTCTAATTAGCATAGTGTGGGCTCCAGGAACTCACAAACCAGGCACGATGGTGCATGCATGTAATCTCAGCACTGATCAAAGTTGAAAGCCACTTAGTGGTACCACTTTAATTCCAGCATTTAGCAAGCAGATGTGAGATTGAGACCAGCCTGAACTCCATAGGGAGTTCCAGGCCAGTTTAGGACTACAGGGAGACATTCTTATCCTGAACCCATTTCGGCTATTGGGATGGCAAGATTGCCACCTAGTGGGCAAAGCCTGGAAATGCAACTAGACACAACAACTGTGGGCCAGGTTTCTGTGCCTGTGACTTTATCCCATCAATAAAATATAGGGTCACTAGATCCAAGGGGCTACAGGGCAGGAACACGAAGCAAATGTCGTGGGCTGGGGTTCACTAGCTCTAGAACCCCCAAAGCTGGTAAATGCCCTAGATTGGATCTGCCACAGGCAAAATGAGGTCCCCAAACACCGGGCGTGGTATCCCCAGCACCATAAAAGAATCCTCTGGGGGCTGGAAAGATGGCTCAGCAGTTAAAAACACTGGTCTTGCAGAAGACCCAGCACCCACATGGCAGGGATCCAACCACCTCTTCTGTCCTCTGTGGGCATTGCACGACACAGGTGTACTTACATAAATTTTTCAAAGCAACTCCTCTGCTACATATTGAGACTAAGGCCAGCCAGGAACACACATGGTGACATGCAGATTGAAAACGGGAGCGATTAACCGGGTGTGGCGGCACACACCTCTAATCCCAGCGCCAGTCTGGTCTCCATAGTGAATTCAGGCCAGCTGGGGCTACAGGGCAGGGCCATAGCAACAGGGCTTTGGGATGCTGAGGAAATAGAACTACCTTGAGGCTTGGTATGTAACTCAGTATCAAGTATCTTTCCTTACATGTATGAAGCTCAATTTTTAGTACCACCTCCCCAAAGTACACACCCCCCAATCCCAGACAACCGTAACATTTTACAAGTCTACCTCACAATGAGATGCTAAAGTCATATTGCAAATTAGGCCTGGCTTGAGCTAGAGCCATACCCCTGGTTCCTGGAAAGCATCCAGTTATCCACAGGTACCTCCAAAGATAACCCCCACAAATGGGAACCAAGGATAACTTGGTCAGGCTTAGGTTGCCTCAGAGGACTAAGGCAATTAACTATCAGCTTTTGGGGGGTATGCCTGCATCTGTGGACCCCCACAAATGGGAACCAAGGATAACTTGGTCAGGCTTAGGTTGCCTCAGGACTAAGGCAATTAACTATCAGCTTTTGGGGGGTATGCCTGCATCTGTGAGTTTTTCTGGGTTTGCTGGAGACTCAGAACTAGCATGTTAGCAGTTGGAGGTAAAACCCTGGCTAGTGGGTCAGGATTTCTGGTTGGCTGCATGTCTTGGTAAACCCAGCACAAAGTGGGTGAGATTGAGGCCCTGTGACCTCCCCAAAGCGCCCCACCAAAAGAGCTGGGTGGTGACCCAAGATTCAAGGCCAAGGACCACAGGGACATTTTGTAACTTCTCCTGATCTTCCATGAGGGAATGAAGCTCCAATCAATAATGGACCCTGGATTCCCATGGTTAGAAGCCAAGGCCAGGTGGGGCTATGTAACAACTAGTCTAAAAGTATAAGCAAGTAGGTGGGCCTGGTGGCACAGGCCTTAAATTCCAGCACTCAGGAAGCAGAGGCACTCAGCTGAGGCCAGCCCGTCTACATAGCAAGTTCCAACAACTCAGCTGCGGCTACAGGGAGACCCCATCTCAAGAGACAAAAGCCAGTGGGGCTGGAGATGGCACTGGCTGCTCCCAGCACTCTATATGGTGACTAACAACCCTTCATAACTCCCATTTCCAGGAGACCTAACACCACCTTCTGGCCTCTGCAGGCAAGGCTGATGACCTAAACTTCAACCCCCTTGAGCCCAGAGCAAAGGCATATACATGTAAACACACACATAGAAGCAACCAGAATGCAAGAGAATGTTAAAGAACTAAATTTATTGATAGTTTGGAGTCACTGTAGCAACCCACAGTTGCCAACTGGGAGCCAGGCTAGCATAGCCCTGTATCCAGCATATGCCCACTGTTCTTGGAACTTGGAAAATATCCACGGCCCTGTACTCAGCCTCCTGAGGCCACAAGTCCCTACTGCATGGTGGTAGGCACCTGTCATCTGCTGCTCTAGGTACCTTGCCCATACAAGACAAAATAGAAGCACTTTCCAGTCAAGATCAGAGTGATAAGCACTGTGTGGGCTCAATTACTTCAAGCCCATTTTCTGCCAGATCCCCAGCACCTCCATTGGCTAGGTACTGAGACATGAACAGCATTCCAACAGTACCCCCCACTGGTGATGGTACCCACTGGTGACACCCAAATGTCAGAGCACTTTCCACATGAGGTCCAGAAGAGTGCCCCACATTTGAGTATCACAAGATGAGCTACTGGTTGCTGAGGACCAAGTCGCATTTTCTCAATCGGTAACACTCAAAAACTGGTGGCCCTTTTCTTCAAAGAACACAAAAAGAGCCCCCACAGTTTGAGTACCACAGGTTGAGGGGTGGTGGTCCAAGGAAGAACCAAAATATAACTTCTGTTCATACAACCATATTTACCATATCTAATACTTTGGAAGCAGGCTTCTGTGCCTATCTTAATATGGCAGAGGCTGGAGAAATCGCTCTCGGTTAAGAGCACTGGCTGTTCTTGAACTGGGTTCCGCCAAACTCAGAAAGCAGAGGCAGGAGGATCTGTGAGTTCCAGGCTAGCTGGGACTACAGGGAAACCCCATCTCAAAAAGACCTGGATTCTCTAATCCAGCACTTACATGGCAGCTAACCACTAGAACTGTTACATATGTGCAGACAGTGCACTCAGAGATAACAGTGGAAGGGGATTTACATGTACTTAACTCAGGATTCAACGCCCTCACTGAAAAATGATTTACCTTCCATACCAAATCTAACCCTAACTATGATTCATCTCAACCACTGAGGGTTTTCAATCCCTACGGGAGACAAGGTCTCCCATGTAGCCCACATAGCCAATCTTCACCTTGTAACCAAGTTCTGATGCTGGTATTACAGGCCTACACCTGTAATACACGGTGACAGGTGGCCTGGATCTGAGGTTTGATGGCATGATCTACCACACCCAGATCTTTGGTGACACAGGACATCTGTGGCTATAATGACCTTAGCCATCATACCACCTGACCAGCCAAAGTCTCCTTTGCTATGCTACAGACTGAACCCAGGGCCAGGCATGCATGACCTGTATTGTGAAACTGCACTGAAACAATAGTTGTTTGCCTATAAGACAGTGTTCTTTAACCCAGGCTGACTCATGGCTATCCTGTCTCCAGGTGCAAGGGTTACAGGAGTGCGCCCTGCCAGGTCATGTTACAAGAACCTTGTGATGGGGTATGAAGACCAAGTTCTGCCTCCCAGAGTGCTAGGGAGAAGGCACCTACCACCAAGACTGGCAGGTGCCTATGCTATCTCTGCACATTTGCACCAGCTGTGCCGAGCTGTGCTCAATGCTTTCCAAGTTCTCTTGCTCCCAGACTATTGAGGCTGGCAATGTGGCTAAGTTGTAGAGTACTGTGTAGGCTTAAGAGACTAGGGGGATTCCATCCCTAGCACTGCTCAAAATCCTACGTGGTGATGGTTGCCCAGGATGCCAGGCCACAGGGAGCTAAAAGGTCAGGTCACCCACTCCTATTTTCTTGCAAGTGTACTCCATTCCCTGCTTTGCAGAGGGCTTTTAACATCAAATACATTTGCCACAACTGTGGTCCCAGGACTTGCACATAAGTTACAACCCATCCAGTCACGCTTGGCACGGGGATCACATTCTAGATGCCTGCAGGGGTTGGGGTGACAGGTGGACCATCAGAACTGTTGCCTTCCCCACACTGTGGCACACAAAATGGAAGCACTTTCAGGTCAAGGCTCAAGAGAGGGCCTCCACTTTGATCACCACAATGTGAGCAGTTAGTTCAGCTGCTCTATACACTCACATGCTGGCTAACACTTCCGAGGGGTTCAACGCCTTCTAATGGCCTCAGTGGTCAATAGACATGCATGTGGTATACTAACAAGCAGGTAAATACTAACCAGTAGCACCCCAATTTGACTTAAGAAATTGGAACTAGAGATTACTTACCAGATTCGATTCAAATATTTATAACTTTTCCTGCTCCCTCGTGGGCAAGTCTATGATAGCTTTCCAGTTAACCCAAACCTAATTTACAAAGTGCAATTCAAAGAGCTAGTTTTAGTCCCAGCACTTGGGAGGCAGGCAGATCCTAAATCCAAGGCCAATCTTAAAAAACCGCAAAGCAAGCCAGGTGTGGTAGCACACGCATTTAATCTCAGCACTTGGGAGGCAGAGGCAGGCGGATCCCTGAGTTCAAGGCCAGCCTGGTCTACATAATGAGTTCCAGGACAGCTGGAGCTACAGGGAGACCCTGTCTCAAAAAAAGAAACCCCCCCCCCAAAAAAAACCCCGAAGCAGGGTAAGGGCTAAGCATGCTCTTGCAGACCCAGACCCAGTTTGGTTCCCAGAGGCCAAGAAGTAATTACCCTTCTATAACTCTAGCCCCAGATGACACAATGCCCTTGTAAACTTATACACATGAAACTAATAAAGGGGCTTGGCCAGGCATGCTTTTAACCACAACCCTGAGGTTGCTTCTCAGGTTCCACTGGATGGGAAAGGG